GGGGAATGACCCAATTAGATCTATGATTTAAGAAAGTTCTTTCTTTTTTAAAAAAAAGTTTAAAATTTTATTCTGAACTCGACAAACGCCAAACAAAATGGAAATTTTCACATATGTAGAGGAGAACAGAAGAGGATTGTCAGGGCAGCTAGGTGGCGAAGTGGATAGAGCTCTGGCCTTGGAGTCAGGAGGACTAGAGTTCAAATCCAGCCTCAGACACTTGATACTTACTAGCTGTGTGACCCTAGGCAAGTCACTTAACCCCATTGCCTAGCCAAAAAAGAAAAAAAAAGAGTAAAGAGAAGAGGATTGTCCACAAAACTGCAGACCTCTATTATGTACAACTTGCTTGAGGAAGATTATTCTAACAGGACTGGTGAAGGACAAAACTAGAAGCAGAAAAACCTGTTAAGAAGCCACTGTCCAGTCAGGTGATGATAAAGGTGGTGTGGCAGGAGAGGGAAGAGAGAAAGGAATTAGTTTTCGAGGTGTAGCCATGGAATGGACAAGACCCTGATTATTGGTTGTAGGAGGCAAGGAACAAGGAAGAACCACAGGTAAGTCCAAGACACACAGCTCAGGTTTTATTATGACAGTTATTGAGAAAATAGTATTCAATACGAAACATTGAGATTGTGTAACAGGAGCTTTGGTTCCTCATTCTTCTGAAAGATAGATGGACAGACAAAACATTCATTAAGTGCTTACCATGACACAGGCACCATGCCAAGTGCTAGGCTTGCAAATAGATGCAGGCAAGATGGTCCTGGCCTCGGGGAGCTTACATTCCAGTAAAGATAACATCACTTGCCTCATTGCCTCCTCCATTGGGATATCTGGATATTGCAAAGAGATTACTTCCTATCTTGGTCTCTGTTCTAGAGCGAGACACTGTGTCTCTTTCCAGACTCCGAGTGACCCAGGTCTGCCAGTAGTGGGTTTGTCCATTAGAATGTGATGGGTGCACCAGTGAGGTATGAGTGACATGAGATCACTTGAGCAGGAGATTCCTGGGATTGGCTGGCAGAATCAGGGGAAGCTTTATTTCTGAGCTTACTGTGTGCAGCGGGTCTCTATTGAGAAGATTGAGGTCACTCGACCCTGGAGAGCTTCCAGCCTTGTGGAGGAGACAAGATACTGATACAAGAAATGAAAGAACCAGACAAGATTCCAATACCAGATTTCAAAGATTTAGGGCTTTCAGAATTGAACAACAAATTCAGTAAACATTTACGGAGTGCCTCCTGAATACAAAGCCCTTTTACTTGGTGCTAAAAATGGTCCCAGAGGTACATGGAGGTAGTGGAATACTGTTGTGCTATAAGAAATGATGAGCAGGTGGACTTCAGGAAAACCTGGGAAGACTTGTACGGACTGATGCTGAGTGAAGCGAGCAGAACCAGGGGAATGTTGTACACAGTAACAGCCACGCTGTGCGATGACTAGTGCTGCTGGCTCTCCTTTCCTTTTGTTGTTTTGTTTTATTGCTTCATTCTCGTGTTTCCTTCTATTAGTTCTGATTCTTCTTTACATCATGACTAATGTGAAAATATGCTTAATAGGAAGGTATAAATAGAGCCTATATCAGATTGCACGCTGTCTTGGGGAGGAGGGAGGAGAGGAGGGAGGAGGAAATGTAAAACTCACAAACTCACGAAAGTGAATGTTGAAAACTAAAAATAAATTATTTAAAACAAAACAAGACAAAACAAAATAAAAATGGTCCCAGGTAGTAGATGGGCATCTATATGGCACAGTGGATGGACCACTGGGCTTGGAGTCAGAAAGACCTGAGGTCAAATCCAGCCTCAGACACTTACTAACCGTGTGACCTTGGGCAAGTCACTGAACCCTGTTTGCTTCAGTTTCCTCATCTGTCAAATAGGGATAATAATAGCACCTGCTTGCCGGGGTTGTTGTGAGGATCAATGAGAAATTTGTAAAGTACCTGGTACATAGTAGGTAGTATATATATGTTAACTATTATTGTTATTAGATAGCATGCTGTAGTGAAAAAAAAAACACACAGAACTTTGTAATCAGGGGAGATCTGGGTTCTAATCCTGGCTCTAACAACTATTGGCTGTGTGACCTCGGGCAAATCACTGAACTCTTGTGCCTTAGTTTCCTCATCTGTGCAGTGATGAGAATCCTTGCCCAACCTGATCACCCAGGGCTTGCTCACAAGGCATTTATAAAATCTCTTGTAAGGAAGGCCTTTTGTAGGACTTTGTGCTGCTGCTCAGTCATGTCCAACTCTTGGTGACCCCATCTGGGGTTTTCTTGGCAAAGATGCAGGAGTGGGTTACTATTTCCTTCTCCAGCTCATTTTACAGAGGAGGAAACTGAGGCAAACAGGGTGAAGTGACTAGCCTGGGGTCACACAGCTAGGAAGTATCTGAGGTTGGATTTGAACTCAGGTCCTCCCGACCCCAAGGCTGGTGCTCTATCCACTGCGCCACCTTGCTGCCCTAGTAGAGCTTAAAGCCTTGTTATTGTTGTTGCTACTTTTATCGTTGTCCCCATCAAGTTGTTAGTGGGGAGTGAGGACCCAGAGAAGGGGAGGAATCAATGTGGACCAGGGTTGGAATGGGAAGAGTCAGGACTTCAGCTGGACCAGGCCTTATATAATCTAAGCTCTGTGGCAGGTGAGAAATAGGAAGGAGGATCAGATGGCATCCTTTGTTTTCTTTTTTTTTTTAAAATAATTAATTAATTTATTTTTAGTTTTCAACAATCACTTCCATAAGATTTTGAGTTTTAAATTTTCTCCCCCTCCTTCCCCACCTTCCTCTCCAAGACAGCATGCAATCTGATATAGGTTCTACTTATACATTCATATTAAGCATATTTTCCCATTAGTCATGACGTAAAGAATTAGAACTAATGGGAGGAAGAGATGGTATCTTTTCGAAGCATTTTTCTCATCACTGATGGCTTCCTCACAGCAGCCATTTAAGGGAAGTAGGGGAGGGGTTATCTCCATTTGACAGAATGGAAAACTGAGGTCCATTCACACGTGTATTCAATATATTGCTTACCTTCTCAAGGGGTAAGGGAGAGAGAGAATTTGGAATTCAAAATTTTAAAAAAATGAATGTTAAAATTTTTTAAAAATGTAATTGGGAAATATTTAATGAAATAAAATGTATATGATATATAAAACTGAGGTCATATATATATATATACACACACATACACACACACACACATATATACATATATACATATATATGTATATATGTGTATACATGTGTGTGTGTAGTATAACTCTCTATATAAAACTGAGGTCCAAAAAAAGGTAGTGACTGTAAGCAAGTCCTACAGCCATTAGTGACAGGCCTGGAACTAGACCTCATGTGTCCTGACTCCTAGTCTAGGGCAACTTCCCCCGAAACAGGCCAGTACCTACCCTGTCCTTTAAAAACCTTGTAGTCCTTTTGAGTACTATATCTAGCTCCATGGGGAACCAGAGAGGAGGTTGAAAAAGGAGGAGAAGCTGGCTCCTTCCAGCTCTGGACCCTGGGAAGTCCCAGCCCCAGCCAGCTGGGGTGAGGGACATGTGAGGAATCTTATCTCACCAGACCCTCTGTCCAGGATCCAAGGTTGACTTGGCCTGAGATTTATCTGTGTGTCCCTGGGGGGGAGGGTGAGGGGGCAGAGAAAGGGTAGGGAGGCTAGATCAGCAAGGAGTGGAATCAGCAGACAGAAGGATGATCCGGGGTTGTTTGGTAAAGAAATGTGCTATCTTGCAAATTCTTCATCCCCAGTAACTTCTCTGCTTCCATTTTGCCATTCTCCCACCTCCGGGGTGACTACAGACTGACCTTTAGAATTGCTGTACCTAGAAATGCATGAATGAATTAGGACTCCTTGTTTTTAAAGGCATGTCCCGTTATTCATTTGGGCTTTAGGGTATCTGAGGAGCAGGCATGGAGGAGCTGGGAAGGAACAGGCTTTCCCTGGGGCTTGGAGGTGGGTGTGAGTGAGTAAGTGTGTGTGTGTGGGGGGGGGTGGGGGGGGGTGAAGTCTGAGGGGAAGGAGAAGCCACAGTGCTGGACAGAGCAGAGTAAACTCTTTTTCTTTCCTTTTTTAGTTTTTATTCTGAATTAAAGTGAGTGTTTCCCTTTGTAAACTACAAGGAAAAAGAAAGTAGATTGTATGGGAAACTGCCAGTCTCTCTTAGGATCCCTTGCTAGTCTTTTTAAATATATACTAATTTCAACATGTAACTTTCCAAGCTGTCTTGTTTGTCTGTATCTCCTTCTGTCCTTCTCTCTTTCCTGTTGACTTGTAAAAATCTTTCATCCTCTTTTCTTTCTTTTCTTTGGATTATGCTGTGTCTTCCTCTCCCCTCCCAGTACTTAGCATGTAGTAGATTCTTAAAAAAAATATTTATTGATTGGAAAAAGGGATTTAAAAACTCCGTCCGACTAACATGCACAGTGAAGCAAAACACATTCCCACGTTGGTCTTGTTTGAGAATGGAAATATCTTTGAGTCCATTACTTCTTTGTCAGGAGCAGAATCACGGCTGGCCTTTGTATTGCTAAAAGCCATCTTGCAAAGTTATTGTTGATTTTGTTTGTTTGACAATGCTGTTGTGATTGTATATATTGTAAATTCTTATTAAAGGCTGAGGAGCCTTTGGTGGGTGGTGCGGTGGGAAAGCATCCATCCCAGAATCTGGAGACCTGGGTTTGAATCTTAGCTTTGACAGTTCTTATCTGTGTGACTTTGGGCAGATCACTTCCTTTTCTGGGCCTCAGTTCCTCTATAAGATGAGGGCATTGGCTTAAATAATCTCTAGAGTCCTTTGATTCTATGAGGCTCGGGAGGTGAGTCAGCCTCTCTGTGGTTGTACCAATAATAGGTGTCAAATGCTGGGAATCCATCCGAGGCCCAACTGCCAAGCCAGTGCTGGTGTAAGGGGCAGAGGGGTGAATCATCAGACTGCTGGAGGAGAGCCCAGTTCAATTCTGTCCCTTTTTGTCCTGTAGGCCCTCCCAGGATCTCCGACCGTGTGGCCCCCAGGCAGTCGGCAAGGCTGGGAAGGACCATCAAACTCCTGTGCCCTGTGGAAGGGGACCCGCCGCCCCTCACCATGTGGACTAAGGACGGACGCACCATCCATAGCGGCTGGGCCCGTTTTCGGGTCCTCCCCCAGGGCCTGAAGATCAAGGAAGTGGAACGAGGGGATGCTGGCACCTATGTGTGCAAGGCCACCAATGGCTTTGGCAGCCTGAGTGTCAATTACACGCTCATTGTGATGGGTGAGTGTGATCGTGTTCTGAGAAAGGGGGGGCGGTGCTGGACAGAGGAGGGAGAGAGGGCAACACCAGATCTGAGCTGAGTCGCGGGGCTTGGTGGGGGGAAGGGTAGTAGAGAGAAAGGACTGGAGATGACCATTCCCATACAACATGGCGGCAGGGGAGGGGGTGTTCTCAGGCCAGTGCTCAGCACCAACATCAGGCTGGAGGAATGTGGCTGGATGGAAGGATGTGGTCACTGTTGGACATAAGGTGGGATGTTCAGTGCTGGATATCTCAGACCCCATGCAGAGACTGTCTCAGGTAGCCAAGAGCACCGAAAAATAGCAAGGAAAGACAAGGACAAACAATTTAAGAAACTATGGAGTAGAGTGGAAATAGAATTGAGTTTAGAGTTCCAGGAGTTGGATTTGAGTGATGACTCGGCCATTTAGCATATATGTGTGTGTGTGTGTGACCTTGGGCAAGTCCCTTGCCCTCTCTCTGCCTCAGTTTCTACATCTGAAGAAAGAAGACGGGGTTAAGCTAGAGGGCATTTGGGTGTCTTTTCACTCTGGATCCTAAGAAGCTTCTTACGTGTGCCTGTGCATACGCATTTTGGTGTGTTTGATTCCCATGAACCTGAAGCAAAAATATAGAAAGCGAAATATGTGATTGAAGTCATTCTGAAACCTCTCTGTGTTTCTTTAAAACCTTTTTTTATCCCACACAAGACCAGGACCTCAGAGCCTTAGTGTTGCTCAGCCTAGGTGCTGGGTGTCGCATTCTCCTTTGGCCTGGGTCCTTTGGGAAGGGTCTGATTGAGAGGTGTCACAGAAAGGGCTGCCTCAGTAAGTGGTAAGCTCCCATGCCTGGAGGTCTTCAAGCAGAAGCCGAATGACATCCCTTATTAGGGATGCTGTAGATGAGGTCCCTGTGGAGGGCTTGACCCTAAACATAGGGCTGGGAATGAGGAAACCTGGGTTTGGGTTCCATCTTGAATACTCAGTGACTGTGTGACCTTAAATATACATCACTTTTCCTCTCCTTGGCCTCAGTGTCCTCATATGGAAAATGGGAACATTGACATGTTTACTGCTGATCTCCCAAGGTTGTCGGGGGAAGCACTTTGGAAAGACTGGGGTGCTCTAGCTGACAGAGCTGTTACTATCTGTCGGGAAGTGAGGCTCCCAGGCTCTGTTGTCAGAATCCTGCATCAGAGTGTCACAGGATTCCAGCGCTTGACAGCTGTGTGGCTCTGGGGAAGTCCCTTCTCTCCCAGGCTGTTTCCTCATCTCTGCAGTGAAGGAGTTAGATGTGTTGATCTGTACGGCCTCTTCCACTGCTAATGTCCTCTTAGGCTGTAGAGGTCTTAGTTCACAGAAACCTCTGAGATTATCTACTGCAGCCTCCTTCCAGGGCAAGAGTAACAGTAGCTAATAACAGCTAACTTTTGTATGTCCGCATACAGTTTGTGAAGTACTTTACATACATTCATCTCATTTGATCCTCACAACACCCCTGGGAGGTAGGTGCTACTATTATTCCCATTTTACAGCTGGGGAAATAAAGACAGACAGAGTAAGTGTCTCAGGCTAAGTTTGAACTGAGGTCTTCCTAACTCTAGGTCCATCCATCACTGTAGCCACTGCTCTACCTAGCTAGGAGGTCCATTCAACCTTTTCTTGAACATTTTCAGTGATGGGGAGTTTGCTTCCTTTCCCACCCTACACAAAAGAGCCTTTTCCATTGTTGGACAGCTCCCGTTAGGAAAGTCCTCCCAGCGGTGCCCCAATCCATAACTTATATCTATTGGTGCTAGAGGTGGATGACATGGTTCATACCCTCAGTGAGCTTCCAGTATTGGGGGGGAGGGGAAGGGGGTGGTAGTTAGTGGTGAGGGGATAGAAGGTGCATACAAATAATTATATTGTGGAGGAAAGGTTCTGTACAAAATAGGCTGAGAAAACAGAAGGGATCGATCACTTCTAGTCAGAGAAGTCTTCATGGAGGAGATTGTACTTTAACTGTATGTGGAAGGGTGGGTAGGCATTTGAAAGGTGGAGAATGGTGTGTGTGTGTGATATTTTTGTAGTGGGTGATAGTACATTCAGGCCAGCCAGAGTGCAGAACTCTGGTGGGGAGTAGGTTCAGATAAGCCTGGAAAGGTAGGATGGTGCCATGTTGTGGAGGGCATTGAATGCCAGTTAATTCAGCAACCAGTCAGGAGCCAGCGAAGGTTTCTGAGCTTTAGCTGTACCTCATTGATCTTGCTTTCTCCGTTCTGGATCTCTAGGTCACTGGGCCCATGGGATAACCCCTACATGGGTTCATAGAATCATAGGACCGTAGAATTTTGGGCTTAAAAGGGACCTGAGAGATCATTTGCTCCAACTCCCTTATTTTATAATTGAGGAACCAGAGAGATCTAGCCTTCTCGCTCACGTATCAGGGCCCAGAGCCTCTACGGGCCAGAGGCAGTGTGCCAGCCTCCTCCTCAGCTGACCTCTTCAGCCCCTCTGGACATCTGATGCTCCTACTTCTCCTCAGGCCTCATCAGCTCAGATACAAGAGCTCATGCTGCTTGTGGTAATAGCCCCTGGTGGCGAGTCAGGAAACCTGGCTTCTGGCCCTGGCTCAGCCTCCGGCTGTCTGGGTGACCTTGGGCCAGCCCCTTCCCTGCTCTAGCTAGGCTTCACTTTCCCTACCTGTCAAGTGAGGGGCTTAGGCGAGATGCCCTCACGGCACTTCCTTTCCTTCCGCCCAGGCTCCTCTTCCTGGCCAGGCCAAGGGAGTCGTATTTTTGTGTTTCAGGTTTTTCACAGCTTGTTTCACCGTCAGCGCCATTTGACGTGAGGCACGTGGGGGAGTGTTTTACATGAGAAGAATCATCCCTCTTCTCCTCTTTTATGATCTGCACAGGGCGCCCAGAGCGGCAGCCACCAGCAAACATCTGTTTGCTCTCGCGAAGACTCCTGCTGCCGGTTCTGAGGGCTTCAAGTTGTGGGTAGAAAAAAACCAGAGTCGTACAGTGGGACAATGTGGTTTGCATTAGTGTGTTCCAGTGAACTCCTCGGCCCGTGGCCCAGCATCTCGAGATAGGGAGAGTGGAGTTTCTGGGCTGGCAGAGTTTCGACTCATAATGTGGCAGAGCTGGGGCCTTAGTGAGATGAGAGGGAGCCCAGTGTAGAGGAATGGACATGGAATTTAGGAGATTAGGGTTCGAATCCCAGCTCTGGCACTTCTCTGTGATTGAGGGCAGCTCACTCAGCCTCCCTGAGTTTGGGTTTCCTCCTGTATAATGGGGATAGTAATCCCAGTACTCTCCCCTTTACAGGGTGGTTATAAGGAATGTGCTTTGTAAACCGCTATGGAAATGTGAGCAGTTACTCCTGTTATTAGAGACCAGTTTGTCCGGCCCCTTCATTTTCTAGAGCAGAAAGTGAAGACTCATAAAAGGGAAGTGATTTAGAAGAACATGAAACCCATAGTTCTAGAGCTGGAAGGGGTCTTAGAGATTACCCAATCCAAGCCTCTCATTTTTCCAGAAGAGGAAACTGAGGCTGGGGTGAAGCCCTGAGTGGGGAAATGACTTGGCCAAGTTTTGTTGTTCACCCATTTCAGTCGTGTCTGACTTCTTGTGAGTCCATTTGAGGTTATCTTGGCAAAGAGCATACAGTAGTTTGCCATTTCCTTCTCTTTTATAAATAAGGAAATTGAGGCAAAAGAGGTTTAGTGACTTGCCTAGGGTCACACAGCTAGTTAAGTGTCTGACTCTGATTTGAACTCATTCTTTCTGACTCCAGGTCCAATGCTGTATCCACTAGACCACCTAGCTGCCATGGTCAAGGTTATACAGCAAATTAATGCTAGAGGTGGGGTTTGAATCCGGGTCCCTGGATATAACTAGACCCCAACTGGTTAGTATCTTTTACAGACAAAGAAGCCTCTTGCTTAATTTGGACAATGATACAGTATATCCCCTTGGCCCTAACGTTTTCAAGATGGGTGACTTCCAGTTTTCCCGGCTTTCCCTAAAGGCCTTGTTTGAGGGAAATCGGGGGCACAGTAGGAGATGTCTCTTTGGGAGGGTTTGTTAGTACTTAGCTGCCCGGCCACACGAGAGCTGAGGAGAGCTCAGGAGAGCTCTGCTACGTCTGAGTGCCCTTCTTCTGCCCTAGGTCGGTGTGAGGTGGCTGAGACCACTTCTGTGTGGAATGAGGGAAGCTCCCTGCGGCAGGGAATGAATACCAGTCTCGAAGGAGGAAAAGAATTTCAGCGGGAGAGGAGGGAGGGTCTCCCAGGCTTAGGAGGTGGTTTATGTGAATGCAGAGCTGGGAGAAGGCTGGCTGAAATCAGGGAAGAGTTGGGATTCCTGTGTGTCTGGAAAGGACCCTGGAGGAAGGGGGAGATAGTTAAAGGTCCCATATTGACAGTCCTTGAGTGGCAGGCTCTGGATTTGGAGGAAGTGAAGAGAGGTGTTTCCCAAGGACACAAGCGTGTTGTTCTTCTAGTGCTGTGTGGGTGGCATCCCTCCTCCTGTGCCCAGCTCTGTGTCCAGCATTAGAGCCCAGCTCTCAGACTGGGCTGGGCAGAGCTTTGGGAACCTATCATTAAACTGCTGGCTCTGGCTGTGTCCCTGTAACTGGAAATATAGATACAGAATGGGGTGATGCCCTACAAACAGGCGGAACTTGGACTTCCAAGATCCTGATTCTGTCACTAACTGTGTGACCTTGGGCAAGTCACTGGACTTTGCTAGGCTTCACTTTCTCATCTGTCAAATGATGGTCCTTAAGATTCCTCCCAGCTCTTAATCAGTAATGTAATCTGTGTTAGAGATGACTGAGCAAGATTATAAGCAGGATTAAAAACATTACCACGGGAACATGACAGGTATAATCATGTATGTGTATGTTGATGTGTGTACATATGTGTATATATATGTACATATATACTATGTAAGTTTTGTAAAGATGCTTTACATACACTTGAGCTTCAGAATCCTGTGGGGTAGTACTGCA